AAGATTTGTAGATAACAACACACTTTATTGCATTCGCAACCATCATTTCTGAAACGAACTATGGCAAATCAAACTTGAAATTGGAAAACGGGTAGAACTTTTGAAAGAACCTAATATATGACATGCTGCAATAGTCAAGAATTCAGCAATCAGTAAGCCGCATACGGGTGGGTCCGGTGGATACCGTCAAAGGAAAGAATCACAAGTAAGTGCAACTATTCTTTTTATCGTTTTCATCATTTTAGGTTTGTGTAAGCCATACTGCTAGAGACCATTCGTAAGGTGGCGTGAGTCACCCGTGACTTCTGTGCCAAGTAAGTGATGTCCTTACGAGAATATAAATGATGCAAAAAAGAGATGTATGATAGTTCCACTGCGTTTCGTACCAAAGGAAATATGTCTTCATCAGCTATTCTGCAAATTTACGATTCGAGTGTAGTGAAATTTGTTATGATTGAATTAAACTGAATCAAGTCTAATCCAAATTAGGTTTTTTTCTAAAAAAATTATGAACTTCAATGAGCTTTCAACGTTCAGTGTATTGCATGCGTTGAAAAACTTACGTTCAGAAAAAAAACTGATATTAAAATTTTGATTGCGAAAAGTATAATTCAGAAAAAGTCTGTCACCTAGCTATCTTCCCATTATCACATACCGGCATTCACCATTGCATTTGGCATCACAATCATTCCACCTCCGACCATGTCACCAAGTACGAACACCGATGCCATCGCCCAATGTAGTCCGTGAGTGTTCTCATGCTTTTCAGACGATCCCTAAATAAAAGTATTGTATTTGAGATTGTAGTGGCAGACATCAAATAGCTGACCATGTCGATTTGTTGAGCATCTGCTTTCTTAGGTGGCATTCTGGTAAGCCTTAATCTAAATCAATATGTGGTTCTGAGAAATCATCAAATGTTTTAGCAACGCAAAGTTGTTTCAAAGGTGTGAAGGCTATAACAGTGCTTTCCCAGTTTACAAGCGAAAAAAGCGACAGAGAGCGGGTTTAATGGAAGTTCGCTAAGGTTATCAAAATGAATGCATATCACACTTCAACTGTTGATAATCTTTGCGTGTGCCGTATGAAAAACAGGTATTCGATTGTCGCCAGCATGATCTATGACCAGCACTTCAAACTGGATTTTTCTATACAAATTGTAGTGACCATCCTGATGAAAAAAGTTATAATAGGTCAGCACAATCGAGTTATCTATTTCTTTTTATCAATTTTTACGTTTAAATTGTCAGAGCATGCATCTACATTATTCAATGTTTATTATTTTCTATCGCTCATACCATTTGAATTGCATCATATAGTTCTCGCAAAATATGTTGAAATAAGTAATGCCATTATTTTGAGGTTCCAATTTTTACAATTCCTTTCAAGACT